CAGGAAAATGTAAAATTGGAACTGAAGACAAAAAGGTGTCTATTTTTATGTTTAAATGTAGAGCAATAAAAGGTTGACACACTTATTTATATGCACACGGCTACAGTAGTACCCTGTGTAGCTATTTGTGTCATTCGAAACTAATGCCATCCAATTACCTCTTTCGCTATTATGATTAACTTGTTAACACTGATGTAGCTGCATAGTGAATCACTGAATCAGCTGTATCAGCTGAATCACTGAATCAGCTGAATCACTGAATTTGTTGAATTGCCGAATCTGCTGAATCAGCATAAAAGAAGAGTTAAAAATTTCCTGCCTGTTCCTACATGTACATGTACGTGTGCCTACAAGTACAAGTACTGCACATGTACTTTGTTTTCAGATGCTTTGTAATACAAAGCAGACCTCTTTTTTTTCCTTTTAAACCTTCATTTGGCTGTCACATCGGCAACAATTTAACTCCAAACATTGGGGAAAAAGAGGACAGAATAACAGTGACTCTAAAATTCTGGCTTCGTACATGTACACATATGTGTCAGAACGTGAACTTGAGATCGAGGTCATGTTACTCTAAATCCAAAAGAGTAAAAATCCACTAACTGAAAGTAGGGAATTTGAGAGAAATTTTCTCACTCCAACGGAGTGAGATTTCATGTACCTCTCTATCCACCTCATCATTGGTTGAAGAGAGTCATGTTGGTCAGGAGTTTCGTTTGGTTGGTGGCGATGCAAGTGTAATGCGTGCAATGCTTTTCACAGTCGTTGATGAACTAGCAAAAGTGTAGTTCCCACGAAAGGAGCCTCCGTTGCTCGGGAGATTGCACCCTCTCTTGGTCCGGCCCGGGGCTCATTCTGAAGTAGTTTTAATCTCGGAGGTTCTGCACAAAGGGTCATCACCGTTAGGCTTATGAAAATTACACTATTGAATTAATAACCAAAAGAACCCTGAAACATTCACAGAGCAGTATGAATATTCTAAAGTTAGCAGTCATGCGGGGACACTTTAAAACACTGCATTTCAAGGTTTAAAAAATGATCTTAAAGCTAAGAAATATACATATTAACAACAGCACATGGAGTACATGTCCATGTACTGGTACATTTACAATGTAGATGCGGTGTGTAAATGTATGTGCCTAAATATACAGATTGTTGATTCAGTAATGTGGCATCCTTAATGTTCATCAAATGGTCGCGGTGGAGATCTCTGTCAACAGACGAGAAACGTGTTCTTTCAGGCGAGGCAATGTGTGGGCTGTCATCTTTGCACGAGTGTCAGGAGACAGGAAGACGTCACAAGGAGATACTGCAGCTGTAACCATCAACGATATCTCAGGCTAAAGATAACACATGACATATACATCAGAAGGCACAGTGTATCACCAGGTTATCATGGCGCTCTTGTCTGTGTCGGCAGTGCATGTTGTATAAAGCAGTTAAATATTGTGAGACATCAAATATTCACTGTGAGGTTTTTGTCACCAGGTCCTTAAGAATTGCCACAAAGCTCTTACTTCAGTATGGTGTGCTGTGGCATTTTATCTACATGTATGTGGTCTTGAACAGTGGAGTATTCGGAGCTGAAGCAGTCTCCAAGATCAGTGTGAAATTATCAAAATGTTTAATTATTTGAGAGTTGCTTTTGTTAAGAATGATGTTTCTGGTTGCAATTCAATCTGTGTGATCTGTCAGAGTGTGTAGCTTTGAGTTACAGCATCGTAATGTGTCTTGTCCAACATACCAGTACAATGTTTATACATATGTACATGTACATAAACCCCATGTGAAACAGCAGGGGTCATTGGTGGTGATTGAACCTTGTACATGTACATGTACTTTGTAGTGGCAGAAAATTGTGGTAAAGGGGAGATTGTGGATTTTTTGTTTGTTTCCTTAAAGGTAGCGGTACAATTACGACAAAGAATTCCATCTTTCCTGACAACTCGGTCTGTCTGACCCCTTCACTTCGCACTTGAGTGTGGAAGTGTATTACCAGGCATTGTACACTAGTACATGGGTATCTTTCTTTGACTGAAGATTTGGCCACTTGCAGGTCTGCCAGCTGCCTGAGACAAAGCTGTGGGCAACTCGTTATGCAGCAGTGTTCAACCACAAGAGAATATCTCCATCGCTGAGATTTTTTTTTTTTTTTTTGAGAAGCAACGGGTGATGACTCGTGGAATACGACAGTATGAATACCATTGCTGTGGTCGAACTGTGAATAATGACATTTGACCAGTGCCCTCAAGACCAGCGAGTTCTGCAGACTATGCATCCTGAAGAACTGATGCTATTCAGCACATGCGCTGGACTTGTCCGAGTGAATAGATACAGTGTACATGTATTTGTGTTTGTAACTCACGCAGATTGGGGAGCAAATGCCAAGTCGCTTCTCGTCCATCTTTTCCTAGTCATCTGCCTCAGTTTGCCGGAGATTTGCATCCAGCTTTGCTCCGTATGAGCTTGTTTTACATCTGTCAGTACCTATTTCATCCTCATACATTTTCACCCCTTGCAATCACCAGCACACTTCTAAAAGCTGTATGAGTCACCTGTGAGGATTCTTTTCCCCCTCCCGTGGGCGCTAGTGGAATTGTGAATCAATTTTGAGAGAAAGAGTGGTACCGTAGGCTGTGAAATTTGATATGCAGGTTTGTTATTTATACCATTAAGCACTGACACGTTTTTGAGATACGAGTGACTTGATTTTTTTTTACTTACAACTATACAGCCCATAATGTGCATCCAATATGATTGGCAGCATGACTAAATTGAATAACAAGAAAAAAAAAAAGATGTTGGCAACATGAACATGTATTGTACAGGTACATGTACCAGTATATGTATAAAATCTCACCTCTGTATTGTCTCTTGACATGCGTGTACGGTACGTATACAGATGTATGTACATACATAAGGATATCCATGTACATGTAATAACATGTACATGTAACATCTTTTAAGTCATCTCAGTAATTGGAACCTTCTTTGTACATGTACATGGATGTCCATGTACCTGCTACATCACATTATCAGAGATTTCATTTACATGTACCTGTTCACCTTACATGTAAGTTGTTAGCTCGTTGGCAGAGTGCAATATGGGGTTCCCCTCCCCTCCTCCCACAAGTTATTGATGTCTTTCGTAATGACGCTTTGTTCTTACTCTGTGCACTAAGGATAGGATTTATCATGCCTGGACTTGCCTGTGAATGCAGCTGCAGTGATACACAGCACAGCCGGCCATAAACGTGTGAGGCGTCTGTACGGGCGTGAAGCTTGTGCCGCGCTATGAAGAAATGTGTAGGGCGTAAATCTGAAACCAGAGTTCAGTTTGAGGTTTTGGCATTTTGGCTGTCACCTGAAATACGGTGTCTGTTGCCTACTGGTACATGTACATGTAAGTGACTCTTTTATGACTGTTGCTGTTGAATAACAGGATGCACTTGTTCCTAGAAGTGCATGTACATGTATATATTGTACTTTATGTAGCAGGAACATGAACTGGTACGTAGCTCTGTGGTTAAAGTTGGGAGACCATGCATCCAGGAATTTCTCACGCTGCTTCGTTGACAAGTTGGACTGCCAGAAAATGTGATGAGAAAACAGGATTTGAACGAATTGAGTCTAATAAAGACTTAAATGTACATGTACAAACGTAGACTTGGAAGACTCAGCCATACTGTAAAAATTTTTCTAGCCAGCAACATTTCATTTTTCTTTTCCAACAATTTTTGTTCGTAAAACCTGACAGTGTAGAGGTCAAAGGTGTTATTTCTGACAGAAAAACAAAACTTGACACTCCTCGAGAAATTTCCCCCCCCCCCACAACTTTGAGCAGGCCATTATATTCTGGAGTGGGTCACATGTGCATCAGAGTTGCATGCAAGTGAAGCAGGCAGTACTGGGGAGGGGCCCAACTAACCGGCTCCCAGGCCTGATCAAGGCCCTGACTGGGCCCTGCTGAATAACACCTGCACTGCCACCAACGGTTCATGCTCAGAGCCAATTTACACATAGGCACAGTGGTGGATCCAACTTAATTAAAATGAAAGAACTCACAAAGAATAGAGGGGAGCCACAGCCCTCCAGATTGCATTGTATCCCTTTATTTGAAAGAACTCGGATTCGGCAATCATTGGGGTTTTCCAAACCGTAGCTTTTGCTACAGGCTTCATTTTAAAAAAAAATCCTTAGCCCCAAGTTTAATGAGGCCCTCCAGTTTAATGCCGCTCAATTATGCTGCCTTAGAAACATCAGATCATTTAGCATGAGCCCAAAATTTGAAGGGTTGCCATTTGTTTCCTACCGTGAATGAAAATTAGGCCATGTCCGAAACAGGCTTCCAGAGCTACGGCTAGGTCTATTGTCTTCGCGTCTCCATGCATTTCTAATGGAGTGAAGACCTAGACCTAGCTCTAGACAAGAGATTCGGATGCAGCCTTAGCTTTCAGCCAGAGACGAAATTGGAGCCCAACATAAAGCTAATGTTTGGAAAATGGCCCACATGGCAAACCTCCAAAGAATGCCAACGTTGCTGTCTTGGTCTGGTGCCCCGAGCATGCAGTGGCAATCATTGTGTGAAGTGGGACCGTAGTGACTGGACCACGTACAAGATTCCTTTACCATGAACATCTGTGCCTCAAGGTGATCATGTGTGTGGGCTTGACACTGTCTTTCATCCTGGGGTGTGGGATCGTCCTTGATTTCAGCCTGACAAATGCATGTGAATGAGATAAAAGGCAGTGGACATGTTGGTGTCCTTGTCATCACTGGAATCATTGCCTTGATCAGGATGACAGCTTCTGGAGACATGACAGAGAGGGTTGCCGCCGTGACTAAGGCCTTCGACCCCCTCAAAGAGGCCGTCTAGTTTATCTCAGCTAGCTATGAGACAATGCAGCAGTCAACTTCTTCAAGGACAGCACAAAGCAAATGGATGCGAACAGAAGACGGATTCTCACGTTGTTGTCCTCTTGTCTCCCTCCATTCTGCAGGCAATGTATAGCAATATGTCAGACGAGTCCGATGACGGTCTGGCACTCACCATTCCCGTGGAGGAGTTGCGACAGCTCATGGAGATGCGCAAGGAAGAGCTGGCCAACACCATCAAGACCAAGTACACAGATGTCATAGGGTTATGTCAGAAGCTAAGAACGTCACCGACACACGGTAAGTTGGACAGATGATTCAATTTTGTCTTCCAATTTTTAGTATGCTTTCCGTAAAATGTTGGGCACACGAAGGTGTAGATGGTTCGGTGTTGTGCTGAATGGAAGCATGCAATATTTTCTTGTAGCCAGTGACAGCCTCATGTGTTTACTCCCCTTACATGCTACTGTGAATGAAGACATTGAAGTCTTTGGTAGCTTGGAATTTCAACAGTTTCTTTTTTTCTTTTGACTGATGGTACCACGTGCAAGTTTGTAAAAGTGGCCCAAACCGACTAGTACAACTCAGGTGTGTCTCAAACCCTATTCATTAAATATAAGTTTGAATCGATTGCACAGGTATAAGCGGCACCCATGGCATGACAGCCGACCTGATGAGGCGGGTCCAAAAGTACGGCAAGAACGAAATCCCTCCCAAGCCGCCCAAGTCATTCTTCCGATTGATGTGGGAGGCAGTCCAAGATGCCACCCTCATCATGCTCATCATCGCTGCTTTCATCTCCCTCGGGCTTTCCTTCCTACCAGCACCAGAATGTAAGTTGTTGCTCATGTCGTTGCGGTGTTTTGATCATTTGCCTTTGCTGTGTCCTCCCTTGGACTAAATTTCTGAGTAACATTTGTGGATACACTGTTTTACATTGTGTTGAAGGAGGAGAGTGGTTTTAATAAAAAACTCGAGATTGCAGCTCAGTGCTTCTTGTCAATCCTCTCTGACTTGTCAAGAGAATGTAGCGTTTTGATTCCCTCCAGTATGGGTTAGTTCACGTCAGTGTTATAATCAAGTACTTTTTGAGTACCAAGTTCACTGCCAAAAATTGAACTGGTTTAGAGGGAACAATGCCGGAGATTAATAGACATTTGACGGTAAATGTACAAAAGTAAGATTACAAAATAAATGTACAACTTCAGACACTCCCAGTTTTGTAAAAAGTAAGTTTCACAGAGAACACAGTCACAAAGTACTAAGCCAAGTACTTACTGAGTACATGTATAGTGGGGGCAAAAAGTTCATAATTTTTATATTTCTGAAAAATTGTTTTGTCAAAATTTACATTCATCCCCTTATTGTTCAAAAGTACTTCAGAAAGTGGTCGACTGTGTCTGTTAGATGTGACAAAAAATAGAGAAAGTGGCACTAAAAATAGGAGTTGGAGTATGTGAAATTTGGTTTTTTTTTATAAATAAGAATCATATATACTGTACATGTATGTCTCTGGGTGTTTTTGTTGGACGCATACACTGTGTACATGAAGTAGAGACCCATCTTGTCTGGCCTCGTGAAAAGAAAAGTTGGCAGGAACGAGTGAAGTTGTGAAATTTGAAGAAAACTGCTTTCTGTGTAAACTTTTTGCCCCAACTGCACTTCTGTCACAAAGACCTCCATGTAATTTACACAAATGTAAACGGGTGGTTTGAAGTCATCATTTTGTCGTGTAATCTTGCCTTTGTGTATTTGCCATCCTGTGACCACGGTCTTAAGCTTTACTCCCTCCTAACCAGTTTGATATTTGGCAGAGAACTCGGTACACAAAAAGCTACTCGACTACTAGACTGGTTTACACTGACTGGAATAGCAAATTGCCACATACGGGTCTGTACATTTACAAAGTGTGTATCCCTGTGCTTCATGTCAGAACCAATGTAATTATTTTCAGAGTTTGGTGGAAGGTGCATTCCGAAATCTTTCTTGGTTATTTGGTTGGCTCCTGCTGAAAGCCTCAAGTCACATAAAGTCATGGGAATAGATTAATCTGCCTTTTTTATCAGTTTAATGGCAATTAATCATTTGTGGAGCTGCTTTGTTACCTAATACTTTCAGCACAAAAGCAACACAATTGTGTTCTTGTGTCTCAAAAGAACAAAAACTGGTTGATCTGGGTTTAACTTGAAAAGAAACATTTAAAGAAAAGAGTTTGAATGGGTTTGACGATTTGAAAAGTGTGCATGTACTTACCCAGTATGTACATGTATGCTACATGTATATAAAATGTAAGCTGTAAATATTGTGCCAAAAGTTTAAATTGACACTTCACCGCTTACTTTTTTCTGGCTTTGAAATGATGTTTTGTGTATGATTTGCCTTGACATAATCATTGCAACATTGCGCATTTGAAAATTCTGATGTAAGATTTTCAAGAAAACACGATTGACTTGATGTACCTTTGTGCAACATCACATTTTGTAACAATTCTGCCCAGCAATCTTGCCAAAATGTTAACAGAAACTGTCACATCCGTAACTTAGAGCGGAGTTGATTGGCCAATTTAATGGCACACGGAGACTTCCCTATCATGTCGCTATCTCCCACTGACGTTTCTCGCAAATTCTTTAAAAGGTGCACAGAATGGATTATTTGTTCCCAAACCTTAACTGTCTGTTGCCTTTTCGAGGAAAGTGCTTTCAGTTTTTGGCTCGCAAGGCGGCCCCAATCATCATCGTTGTTCTCTCTTCACGTCATCTCCTTGGAAGACTTTGCTTGCCTCCCTTCCCTCCCACCTCAACCCGCTTTCCTGGAGCCCGTTGTGGTTTCCCGCATTCTCGGTATGGCTGCCTCCTCTCTTCCTGGCTCTTGGTGCTCAAGAGAGCCTTTCTTGAGAAAGCCCCTCATCTCTTGGCAATTGCTGGCACGCTGCTTTTTATTGTCTGTGTGCCGGTGACATTATGTGATTCATCAATGTCATTAGATTGGTGGACATCATCCATCAGTATTATCCCAGCCAACCTTGTAGAACCTGCTACCGTTCTCTGGTGTACATACACCGGTAGTATAAGCCGCGGGCAAAATCACTGGCAATTTTTTTTTCTTCTTCTCGTTGCGTTGACCATTTTTTTTCCTGCTTGCCACCCAGGACCAAGGAGACAAACAAAATGTGGCAGGTTACATTTCATGGTCAGACTTGATTCACATTGATTGAAATCTCTTTAGTCGCATCAGAGCGGCCTTTTGAGGAAGCTCAGAGGCATCGAACAGTTGGTGAAGTTTGTAAATGGTTTCACTGTAATTCATTGCATTTCTAATGAGAAGAGGACAGCAATGCAGTTACTGACCAAAGTGCCATGCAGTATGCATCGGCTCAAACGGGTTCCTGACTGATTTATTGCCGAGCAACTACCATTTTTGCTCAGGAAGCATTTTTTTGTTTTCGGTATTTAACCATTTGGGTTGATGTTACCGCATCACTGGTGCATATTAAGGCCATAACTACAGGTAATTAACCACTTCGTGCCGGGGCAATTTTCAACGTTGAGGATGCTGGGCCGGCATGATTATCATTTTTTCCGTTTTCAAAATCCTTCAACAATTCATCATTCCATTTAACAGTCGTTTATAGCTGCACGGAGTAATCTTTA